AACAAAAAAAAAAGGTTGGAGGGTTGTGGTGAGGGGGGGGGGGGGGGGTACTTGGGCCGATTTCCGTGGCCCACCCACCTGTTCTTGGGCCAACCACCAGCCTTCTCGCCCGCCACGCCTTGATGTTAATTGATTAATTAATTGATGTCAATTAAGCGGGAGGCTGCCCATTTTGCTGCCCCGATGCCAGGGGGCGCTCTCTGCGGCTCCTTCCCTCCCCTATGCCGCAGCCCGAGCCTCACAGATGGCATCTTGATGTTCACATAATCACTGGCCCCCACGCTGGGCCCCAGATTCCTCCTAACAGGACCCCTCCACGATCCCTCCACTAAGGCGGCCTCTCCGCCTTCAACCAGGCTACCTAGCCCCCACAAAACTATTTTCCCCTCTCGGGTGTGGTCCCCCCAGGATCTCTGGCTACCAGCCCTGGCCCACCTCCAGGCCAGTCGGGACCCTAGGCCCCCGGCTCTTGGGCATCCCTCGCGGTGGGCCCCTGGCCCTTTTAACCATCCTGGTCCTGGCCCCAGCATGGGCCAGTCGAGGGTACTCTCTTGTTCAGGTCGGGTCTCTAGCCCCTCACTCTCTCCCGGGGTCTGCCCTCTGGGCCCTTCACACAGGGGTAACCCACCCGGTGGTGGGGGTTAGGGGTTAAGGCACCTTGACCCACCTTTCACCGGGGTGGTAACTGGCCTGGCATTTCCTGGGGGCTTCCGCATCACTGAGAGCCCCACCAGGCCACCCACTCCCAGCAGGGTGCAGTTTTAGGTCACACCCAGGACCAGGAGCCTCCTTACTATCCCCTACAGCTCCCCCCTTACCTCCAGATGATACCTGCAGCCCTCCAGCCAGGCAATGTTGTTGCTTACCCTCCAGCAGCTGAACTGCCCTGTTTATATAGACAGCCCCTGACTCAAAATGGCTGCCCTCATCAGGCACCTGGTGGCTGCCAGCTCCAAGCCCTTAAGGTGGCAGGCACACACAGTGCCCTGCCACAGTTGGCCTGCTGCCTACTTATCATAACTGTATTTAAATCCAGATTTTTGTCTTTTGTAGTCCTATTTGAATTCTATTTCTGTCTAATTTCTTTGTATTTTATTTTGTACCTGTTGAGACTAATCCTGGAATGCTGGGATTTAAAAAAAATGGGAATAAGAGCTTCCCAATCTCAAATGTTGTTTACATTTACACTTGCATTGTTAGTTATTAAATTCTAAAAAACTCTGTAATGAATTAATTTAATCGTTTTACAATAAACTAACTTTTTTTGTAATTAGCATAAGTAACTAAGCTACTGAAGATTCAAGTCTCTCCCTTTACTGCTCTAATAAAGTAATGCTTAAAACACTTGACCATTACTTAATAATATTTGACTGGTCAACTGATCAAATGTTTTTTGGGATTTTTTTGGACTGGTCAAAGAACCAACCCTAGCAAAGGCAGAATATCAAACGGGAATGAGGACATGCTTAGGGAAAATACTACACCTGATGTGAAACACAACTTAGATTGCCAACTGTGACAAAGTAAGGGGGCCCAAATAATCTCTGTTCCACAATATTGAAAAAACAGGTATGTGGATCTTCAACATTTTCAGGTCAAGTACGGCAGCTTATGACTGAAGAACAGCAAACATACTACCTATTCTTATAAAAAGGGCGGGGGGCGGCTGGCAGGAAAAAGTGATTCAGGGAATTACAGTTCGTTATCTCGACTTCAATAGTGCGTAAAGTCTCAGAACAGTTATTCAGAAAAGAATAGTCAAAGACATGGAAGTAAACAGAAAATGGGAAAATACAGTTTACCACCATCATGCCTTGCCCAGCAGCTCCCAAAGGGGTTGCAAGCACCATGTCTTGCTCTGCAACTCCTTCAGGAGCGGAGGAGCAAGACAAATACTGCATCAAATGGTGCTGGTCCATGGGGTTCATGGCAAGCCAGCATGTCATCATGTCTGGCTCTGCAGTTCCCTTGAGAGTCAGCACTAGGCTTCCTCACATGTGACGCAGTAGAATGTAGCATTGTAGGGATCAGGGATCAAATTCTGTCATGCCATTATTTTAATGCCTGTCAGGAGCCTTAGAAATCATCCAAGAACTTCACTAGGGGACCTTGTTCTTCCGTTTAGGATCAAACCAATCACCAGATTAGGGTCAGAAAGGAATTTTTCCTCAGGTCAGATGGGATTATTTGAGAGCAGGTGCCTCTCTCCGTAATACGAGGCATGCTCCTCTTCCAAGGATCTGTAGTTTCCCTGGATTTGGCTGAGCACATGGCAGCCAAAATATTTTTTTCTGCCATTGCAGTGGCACTGAAAGCATAGTGACATCTTTATCTCTTTGCTTACAAAATGTGCTTTTGTTTTGTGGTTGTAGTGTGTGAGAGTTTAAAGTGAATGACTTTTAGGACTCTTCAATGTCAAATAGGTGCCTGAAAATGCAAAGGACTGGTCTCAATGGCCTAAAGGGCCTCTTCCAGTCCTATACTTGTATGTATATAAAAGCTATCTATTTTCCCCTCAGAGCTGTGGATAGTTTGCATTCTGGAAATCTTATTTAGCAGTATATCTTCAGGAACTTTCATCTGATTTTACTAACAGTTAGAAATGTTAGTTGTAGAAAACAGAAACTGAGCTTTTCCACTAACTTGGTAAGTATATGCAGTCCCAGAATTCATTGTTTCACTACTTCCGTTTTACACTACATTTTTTATATTGTTATGGCCTCTGCGTCCACTCTTCACAGACTCTTAAATAGGTATTTCTGGAATAAGCTTTACCGTATTATGGGATCTAAACTGCAGCTCCGGTCCAAAACATTTGAAAGCTACTGTTCCAAAAATTTAAAGAATTCACGTTAGTTCAGTGATAAGCTAGCACATTAATTTTGATAAATGGCAAAATGCCACGGTGCAAAAGCATCTCAATTATAATGGGTTCAATCTGCAGTTTCTTCTTAAGAGACACACATGGGCTCAGAGACCTGCAGACCATGACATAACCAAGGACTAAACCCAGCCCTCTTTCCTGCCTATGCAGGGGGTCGGACTCGATGATCTACTGAGGTCCCTTCCGACCCTAACATCTATGAATATGAATAACTGGATATGCATATTATAGTGAGAGGGTTTTGCTGTTAGCTGAAGTACTAAGTACTAGCTGCTTCTAGGAGCGAAAACATAGGTTAAATACATGGAGAGGCCATTCACGTTCACGTGAATTGGGGCACAGAAAAACAGCACTCACCTGACATTGAAGATATGTGAAAGAGATAACACTTTTCCTCAGACACACAAATTTGGATGAGGGCCACTTTTCCCACTTTTCCTTTAATGTATGATGGTGGCCATTCAATGTCAAATCCTATCACAGATCCATCAGCTAAATTTATTCTGAAAAGAAAATAAATTTATTTAATTATTTTATAAGTTGAGTATCGATTAAACATAACAGCCACATACCTTACTTAAAAATGAGTGATTAAAATTATGGGTAATACTACTTTCACTACAAAAAAGGAAATGGGGAAAGTACAGTAATAAAGCTTTAAACAAATAACTTTATACTGAGCATGGAAAAAAGGGCCCAGGTGAGACCTTCCAAATCATTTAGACTTGAATACATCTTAAGTAGTACAGGCAGTCCTCGAACTTACGACACAATTGGTTCCTGAAAACCATGTCTTAAGTCGAAATGTTGCAACTCGGAACCAGTTTTCTCATAAGAAACAATGTTATAAATGGGGGATTGGTTCCTGAACCAAGGCCTGATACCCTATTTCCACCAAAAATAACCCAGAATTTTGTATTCAGTCAATTATAGATGAGTAACATAGCTACATTAATGTATTTATATTGTAAATAGCAATCATACTGATTTGGAAGGACTTCTTTGACGTGACTTTGCTGGACTTTTTGAAGGGCTCTTGGTTGGAGTCTTCTCAGGAGTCTTAGGCTGCAGGTTTTTCTGGAGTCTTGTCTGCTTTCTTAAAGTGTCCAAGGAAGTTTGGACAGATGTTCTCCAAGGAGATGAGTGATGCAGCGAACTTGTTCGCTGGCACGGCGTCGCATCGGATCAAGTGTTGTAAAGTCAAAACTGACGTTAAAGTTGAAACAGGGTGTCAATTTATAAATGTTGTACGTGCAAAACGTTGTAACTCGAAGACTGCCTGTATAGACATCCTTGTACCAGTCTTCCACACTGAGGCTATGGAAGAGGGAGAAGGAGGGAAGCTTCCCTTGTTCTGATGTTAGTTAACTTAAGGTTTAATTTTTAAGCACTTGTTATGTTTTTTTGCAGGACCACGGCTTTACTGTAAACAGCATTCTTTCTAAATATAGTCTCCAATAAAAGGTTTAAGTGTGAGAATACTGTACTCAGCACAAAACAGAAGTTAATCTCTAAAATTGGGACTTCGTTCTGTGGTATTAATGGATAATTTTTAAACATCAGAAACTATAGATATAACTAAAACACATATAGAAAGCCAGGGATATCAAAGATAAAGTCCAAGGGCCAGACCTGGCCCACAGAGCCCTATCGTCTGACCCAGAGTGCAGCCCTCAGGTCTCAGACTGGACCTGCATGCAACTACAGTTCTCATCTTTAAGAAAGGGCAGAAGGAGGATCCGGGGAAACTACAGACTAAACCCTCATCTCAGTCCCTGGAAAATCATAAGCAGGTCCTCAAGGGATCCATTTCTGAGCACCTGGAGGAGAAGGTGATTAGAAACGGTCAGCATGGATCCACCCAGGGCAAATCATGCCTGACCAACCTGATCACTTTCTATGACACAATGACTAGCTCTGTGGATACAGGGAGAGCAGTGGGCATGATGTATCTTGACTTTAGCAAGGCTTTTGATAAAGTCTTCCACAACATTCTCACCAGCAAACTAAGGAAGCACAAATTCAATGAATGGAATGTAAGGTGGATAGAAAACTGGCTGGACTGTTGGACTCAAAGGGTAGTAATCAATGGCTCGATGTCTAGTTGGCAAGCAATATCACGTTGACTGCTCCATGGGTTGGTCCTGGGGCTGGTTTTGTTCAGTATCTTCATCAATGATCTGGAAGATGGGATGTAGTGCATCCTTAGCAAGTTTGTAGATGACCCCAAGGGGGGGGGGAGGGGGGAGAAAGTAGTAGATATGCTGGAGGGTAGGACTAAGATTCAGAGAGACCTAGACAAATTGGAGGATTGGGCCAAAAGAAAATCCCATGAGGTTCAAATAGGACAAGTGCAAAGTCCTGCACTTAGGATCAACTGGGGACCAACTGGCTAAGCAGCAGCAATGCAGAAAAGGACGTGGGGGTTACAGTAGACAGTAAGCTGAACATGAGCCAGCAGTGTGCCCTTGTTGTGAAGAAGGCTAACAGCATATTGGGCTACATTCGTAGGAGTGCTGGTGGCAGATCAAGGGAAGTGATTCTTCCCCTCTATTTGGCACTCGTGATACCACATCTGGAGTACTGTGCCCAGAAAAGGATGTCAACAAATTGGAGAGAATCCAGCAGAGGGCAACAAAAATGGTTAAAGGGCTGGAGCAAATGACTTATAAGAAGAGGTTCAGGGAACTGGGCTTATTTAGTATGGAGAAGAGAAGACCTAGGAGTGATTTAATAATAGCCTCCAAATACCTGAGAGGTAGTTCCAAAGAGGATGGAGCTAAACTGTTCTCAGTGGTGGCAGATGGCAGAACAAGGAGCAGTAGTCTCAAGTTGCAGCAAGAGAAGTTTAGGTTAGGAAAAAACTCTCATCAGGAGGGTGGCGAAGCACTCGAACAGGTGGCAGACTCTCCACCCTTCAAGGTTTTTAAGACCCAGCTAGACAAAACCTTGGCTGGGGTGATATAGTTGGGGATGGTCCTGCTTTGAACAGGGGATTAGACTAGATGAGGTCCCTCCCAACCCTAGTCTCCTATGATTCTATGCTGGACTGGCCCCATATGCCAGATCAGGGCAGTTTGGCATGTGTACTACGTACAGCAGCTGGATGAGTTTGAGACCACTGATATAAGCTATATGTAAAGTCAGAGAGAATTCTGCTACATGCACTAATACAGTGGTACTCAACTTTTCCAACATGCAGACTGGATGAATGGGGAGGAGCCAGCATGTGGGTCAGATCCTACACGTGGGCTGGGGCTGCATGCTGCTCCAAGGCTGTGCACTGGGAACACCAGAGCCATAATAACTAACACTGCCATGGCTCCCCTCCACCAAATTTCTGAGCCTGTTGACATCCCCACAGGCCACATGACTCAGCTCTGCAGGTTGGACCTGGCCCACAGGCCAAACTTTGAACACCACTTTGCTAAAGAAAAGACTTTAGTATAAGCCAACATTTTCTGTGATAGACAGCTAACCCAGTCTCCATATAAAAGCTGCATAATCATTATGAACAGGCACTTTCAGAGACATAAACCCTTCTAATGGAGAGATAAAGACACTTGAAGTAAATACACAGCTTTTACCTGATATCTTCTGAGAGAAAGGAACAATCACTGGCATCATAGCTATAGACAATGGAGCCATGGAACACTAAAAAAGGCAGGTCATCTTCCAGAAGACTCTTCTGAACATGAGACTTCTGTTTAACAACATTTAAAGGAGGCTCTGTTACAAGGCACATTAAGCCACACTGCAAATATGTCTGTTAGCACTACAATAGCTCAACATGCCTTAAAGTCTTTTCTTGGCTACCACAACAAATCTAGCATTAGTTGTTACTGCTAAATAGTTTTCTGAACACTTACAAGTCTGCTGTGCTAGTCTAAAGTTAGGCAGAAGGCAAGGCAGGGTGACACCTTACAAACTAACTTGTTCAGAAAGGAATAAGCATTTGTAGGCTACAGACTACTTGGGAAGATGCTGAAGCTATCACCTTAGTCACTAACAACTCCCCTTCCCCAAAACAGAGGTTGACTTGCTATATCTATAGCATCTGACAAAGGAAGCAGGAGCCAAAAAAGGCACATTTCTTTCTGGGAAGTTAATCCAAGTGGTCTTCAGGCCAGATCCAAAGACTCCTTGGGCTGTAGGTTACTGATCTACAAGTTGGTCTATAAGATACTATAAGCTATGCCATATGATAAAGTAGGCTGTAGCCTAAGAAAGCTCATGCCTCTCTGAATGAGTGAATCTATCAGGTGTCACCTTGACCTGCCTTCTGACTTACAAAGCTTCTCATAGGTAGAGCTGATTATACCCCCCTACTATAGGACTGTCTAACTGTTTTAGTAGCTTGTTACTGCTAATAACCATGTGGACTAAATTCTGCATGCTGAGTATGTATTTTTTTTCAGCATTTTGACCAAAATGAAACAGCCATTTCTGAAAAACAAGACTAGCAGAAATATGTTTCTTTACCCATGTTATAAATTCTTGCAATTGTAGCCTTGGAAACACTCTAGCATTCCCATTCTTTAAAGAGCCCTGAACTATATCAGAATGGTGCAAGGAAGGCCATCTAACTTTGAAGTGCCTGACATCGTAACCTTAGTAATGGTCTTAATATATGTGTGCGTCAGTGAGGAGGTGGGGAGACAGAAGGGGGAAGGGGAGAGGGAGAGGGAAATTTACCTAGTTTATTACAACAAATAACATTGTTTAAATTTATGTCAGACAGGTGCTCTGAATCTTAAAAGTAATAGACATTCTAGTTGATTTTTCATCTCTAATCCACTTTACTGGCTTAGCATTTCCATTTTGCTCCTGTTTATTTTGTAGTGTGCCACATCAAAGATCTGGCTCTGGTTCTATCTTTGCTACAAAATATTAATTGTTGAAGAATGACTAAAGAAACTGATAATAAAAGAAAATGAGTGCCACTAATACAATGTTGACTGTGACCTTAGCAACATTGTGTCAATTAATTCAATTCTATACAAATATAATTTTGCATGGCTGTGATGAAAATGAGCTTCAGTGCTTTGGTAGCCAGCATACAACATTGAAATAAGAAATAACTAGGTTTGAGAATAACACTGAATCTAAATACACATTAGGAAAATAAACTATAGCACCAATAACATGCAATTTGGATGCATTAAAAACTGTACAGATGGCAGCAAGTTTAAATTTACAATTACTGGCTGCAACCAGACAATACCCCCTCCCCCACATCTGGATCAGGGCAGGGCCACACCCCTTTCATGCCCAGCATGGGCTGAGTTGGGGTCAAGCCATACTCCTTACCCCCATGGTACCAGGCCATGCCCCCTTTCCCAGCTGTGCTGGTTTGGGAATAAGCCACACCCCTCCCCTGCAGGGCCAGTGGGGAGAGGGGCACAGCCCTTCCCCCACAGGGTCGGGTTGTGGCAGGGCTGCCCCATGCCACTCTGAGTCACCGGATGGTGTTCAGCATGCAGAAAAGGCACTTAAGAGGGGACATGACAGCAGTCTTCAGATACTTCAAGGGCTGCCATAAAGAAGAAGAAAAGCACCTTTTCTCTCTTGCTGCAGAGGAGGATGCGGACCAATGGCTTGAAGTTACAGCAAAGTACATTTAGACTGGGTATCAGGAAAAAACTTCTTCATTGTTACAATATAATAATGTGCAAGGAAAGTTGAACACATACAAATGTGATAAAAGCTAGATTTACCTTTTTTATCTTTCACCCATCTTAAGAAACTGAAGCAGAATGGAAAGTTTCATTTTCTGCCTCTACTATACAACTTTAATGGGATTCTGCTTTAGTTTCAAACATGGCATAAAAGCACTTAAACAGAAGGATTTTGTTCTTGTTGTTCAAATAATCATGAACAAGTTTTCAGCAGTTTTTATGAAGCTCTCACATTCACTTAAGAACTCAAATCCATGGCTGAAATTACCTAACAGTTACAAGCTAAAAGGAATTGCTGAAGAGCAAGAAGAGAAAATATAAGCCATCTATTTAGGAAACCCTTTCCCCATAAATCCTAGATAGATAAATTATAATTTGACTTCATATCTATTCACAAATTTTGAGAATAAAGTTAATGATAAAATGTTTTTGTCCCATTTAAGGGAAGGTCAAATCATGTTCAAAGTGGAAACTGTGCAACAATTTTAATAGTGGAATTTATTAGTACCAGTCTAAAGCAATTCAACTGTAGCTCAATCAGCTAACATAATATATGAATTTGTGTTTAACCCACCATAACGTGTGCATCTTGACTGCTAGCAATTAACTTTATTCTTATACCATGCTGTTGTTAGTCACTGACAGAAAACCTGAAGGTTGAATTGTATTGTACTGTCAACTTGATATAAATTTCTTCCTTGACAGGTTTACTGAATGTAGATAAGATGGATAATTGACCCATATTGTGCATAATTATTATGAATCTTAGAGGCAAGCTATAAATGTTTAAATAATTAATAATACAGCTTAGAGATTAACTGAAAATATCTATAATTTTGTTTGGTTATATTACATAGCCTCAACCAACCAGACTTTCAAAACATGACATCATACCTTTTTGTCTCCCCAAGGATAGCCTTTACTTTGTGAAGACATCCACTGTGGAAGTTTATGTTGCAGAGAACTCATTTTATTCATTCTCCTACATTTCTGTTACTGTTGTAAAACTGAAAAAAAAAGAAAAAAGTTACAGTAAATAATCAGTATAGAAAGGATTATTACTCTATTGGAGGATTCCTCCCAGGCCTAGAGGGACTTCATTTAAGATTATCACCCAGGATTCAATACACGGTAGAGGGGGAAGGAAATTTACATGACCCAGGTATATGCAGTAACTCTTCAGAGTTCTTCTACCTGCTACATATGAATAAGAATGCATAGGAAAGGAATAGATATATAATTCCTTCTGCGAAAGATAAGGTTCGGTTTAGCCTTTCACACAACCTTACAAAAGCAAACAATTTCCAGCTATCCAGACAATTCAGCTATGGTGTTAACACATGACAATCTTTAGAAAACGTTTACTATATTTTTTTCTCATACAACACACACCTCCCCCACCCCAAAATCAGTCCCTCCAAATTGAGGTGCGTGCATTAAGTGGAAAAGCTGATTTTCTTCCTGGAATAGAAGCACCTAGCTCCACAGTGCAGCAGCTGTGGTATTACTATTTAGGCAGCTAAGCAAGTCAATTGATTTAGTGACCCATTGTTCTTCACTTCAGAGGCATTACTGATAGTCTCTCCTTTTAAATGGTTTTGATGTTCTACTAATCAAGCTTACCTTTCTTAGGGTATTTTGCTGTCTGCTAGACATATCTGGTCTTTCTCCTCCTATTTCACAGCCCTGGAAACTCTTTAGCTCTTCTAAAAATCACAGATCTATCCATGGAGACCAGTCTTAGGCAGAAGGTAGTGTTTGAGAAAACATGGTATATTTAAGCTAGTGATACACAGTTGTTTTACTTGGCTGCTTAGCTTACTCTACTGAAGAAGAGAGACACTGTCAGTTTAATCTATGGTTTGAAAGACATTCACTAAAACTCTCCCTGTAGTGGGGATCAGGAACTTTGCATTGGCCAGCTTGAACTGTTATATCACAGACTGTATGATGCAGCCCCCAGTCACTCCAATCTCACTCATTTTTCTCTCAGTACCAAAGCAGATAGAGTCACAACAAAAATTATCAAAAGCTGAACTCTAAAAGATCCTCAGCAGCTTCACCTATTAAAGTGCAATAGAAGGGCAAGTAAAAAAAAAGAGTGGCAGTCCAAAGGGATGCAAGGAAGATGATCTTAAAATAAAAAGAGAACTTCCAAATGGGAAAGAGGAAGAGTCTAGAGAAGGAGCAGCCACAGTAAACTAGGGGAATGAGGAACTGAAGGAAGTGAAATGCCACTTCTTAATACTATTCCCAAATCACTTTTGTAGGATTTTTCCACCAGCAGCAAATACACGGACCCCTCTTGAAAGCACTGTGGGGAGCTTCCTATTTGCAGGAGTGAGAGGTGCAAAGGTAGGTGAGCGCTCTCTCTTGGCTTCATATTTTAAAGCTGCCAACAATATACAACAGAAGTCTCTCTCTGCACCTTACCTCTTCTGTCTGTCCAAGAATCAAAGAGTCTTGATGTTATATAGGACTCTGATATAGAAGGGAATGGTATGTGTGAAGTGAGCCTGTAGAAAGGCAAGACTTGGGGAAGTTAGAGAACTAAATCTTTCTTCTCTGAGAGCCCCCATGCATTCCATCTCAAAGACTAATGAGCAGTGCAGCCCAGGTGAATGGTGGGAGGAATTCTTAGCAAAACAGTTTGTAATACAACTCTCCCAAACTGGGCATAAGTAAGACACTTAGCTCCAAGATCAGTGAATGGCAAAAGTATGTTCTGAACTCCAAATGGCTGTTTCAGAGGTCTCCACTACTGAGAGGGGCCTAAGGCATGACACAGATGCTGCAATTGTGCTAAAAGAATGCTCTTCAATGCTGTTAGCACTGGTAGACGCAAATCTCTTGATTTATATAGACTTTAATTCACTTTCAACCCACCTCTGTAGGCCAGATTTGGCCCATAATGCTTATCAGTATGGCTCCAGAACCCAGGGGAGTTAATGCTGCTGTAGCTATCCACTTTCCTTCCCCCACTTACCCACCACTAGCCACTAAGATCAGTGGCAGGGAAAAGAGGGTCTAGTGGCAGTATTAATCCCTGGATTCAGAAGCTGCCCCAATACAGCAGCTACAGCACCTGCAAGAATTAACGCTCCTGCTGCTGCTCACAGGTCAGCCAGCATGCAAGAAACCCCATGGTCCGGATCACACTGGCAGGGCCAAGCGTGTCTGATGCTCCTGATAAAGACTGCCTCGCTAGTGTAGGGGCAGGCAAAATGTGGCCTGCCAGGCCATTCTATCCAGCCCACAAAGCCCCTAAAATGTAGAAAAAGTATATTTATCTGCTCCTCACTCTCTGGCAGCACTCACTAACAAAGCCAGCCCAGTCCCAACCCACCACCCCAAAGTCTGTCTGCTGCAGCTTTTACCGGCCTCCAGCACCACGTGGCCCCCAGCTGCATTGCTGAACCACATGCCCTGTGGGTATCCCAGGGCCAGGAGGAGGGGGGGGGTGTTTGCCACTGAAATGAGGGAGGGAGGGAGAGTGTGCGTGCAAGAGAGAAAGGAGTGGGCGGGTGGGAAGGAGAGAGTGTGGGGGGGAGTGGGAGGGGTGTGTGTGTGTGTTCAAAGGGCAAATCCCCAACACATACCCCACTATACACATGCACCCAGATCCCCTAACACACCCCAGCCACCCTCCCCCATACCCATCTCCCCCCCACCGCAAAGGTCAGAAGTTAGGGGGTGGGACTTCTGGCCACAAGATGGCAACCAGGGGGAGCAGGGCGCCTGTCAAGGGGCAGCACTACCCATGTGCCCCTCGACAGCTTGCCAAAACTCTGCCCAAAATAATTGCCCACCCCTGCACTAGTGACTTTCACATTCCAAAGGTTTAAAAGAATACAAAGGACTCTTGGGGGTGGGGGGACGTGTTTGGTTTATTTTAATCTACAATATATGAAAGTACTTCTCTTGTGAACAGGGCTGGGAAAGAACACGGGAAGGAACACATATTGGTTGTATACCGAGCATAAGGCAAGGGTGAAGTCTACACACTAGGGCTGTACAAAGCTTCGGTTGCTGATTCAATTTGGAGGAGTTCTGGCCTGATTCGGCAGCCGAATCTCCAAATCTGAATCGAATCAGGAGACTCATTAAACTCTCTGAATTCTGAGGGGAGTCTATTCTTGGCCTTGGAGGCTCAGACAGTAAAGAAGTTTTTCCTTACGTCCAGCCTAAAATGGCCTTGGAGGAGTTTGTGACTGTTGGAACTTGTCATCCCTTGGGGTGCTCTGGTGAACAGGCGTGCCCCCAGATCCTGGTGCACACCCCTTATGTACTTATGGGCTGCCACCAGGTCATCCCTGAGTCTGTGCTTCTCCAGGCTGAAGAGTCCCATGGCTCTCAGCTTCTCTTCATAAGGCCTGTTCTCTTACCCTTTGATCATATGCATGGCTCTCCACTGGACTCTCTCAAGCTTCTCCATGTCTTTCCTGAATTTTGGAGCCCAGAATTGGATGCAGTACTCCAGCTGCAGTCCCACCAAGGCCAAGTACAGCAGGAGAATGACATCCTGGGTCTTGCTTGAGATGCATCAGTAGATGCAAGCCAGAGATCTGTTCGCTTTGCCAGCTGCGGTATTGCATTGGTGGCTCATGCTCATGTTCATCTTGTGGTCGATAATGACCCCCAAGTCTCTTTCGGTCGTGGTGCTAGCGAGTGTAGCATTGCCAAGCCTGTAAGTGTGATGTGGTTTTTTTCCCCCTTGAGGTGGAACACCTGGCATTTCTCCATGTTGAATGCCTCAGGTTTTCATCTGCCCACCTTGCAAACCTACTGAGGTCGGCCTGGATCACCAGCCTATCCTCAAGTGTGGATACTATTCCCCAAAGTTTCATGTCATCAGCAAACTTGGCTAGTCCGCTTCTGACACCAGAGTCCAGATTATTTATGAAGACATGAGTTTTACCAATGAGTCTATGGGAAAGGGCAATTTATCACACTGCAACTTCTTCACTAATTGTGCGTCTGATTCTCCAGAAGCAAGAGATTTTGAGAAATAGAAACAGGCTTAGAGGTGTATTCATTTGGTTTTGATTTGACCTGCACAGCCAATTAGGCCAATTCATAATATTCTAAACCAAAAATCAGGTTATGTGAGTGTATTTACCCTGTTTACAAATCAATAAACCATATATGTACTCTCTCACACTTCCTAGGGATAATCACCTGAAAAACATTAATTACAACTTTGAAACTGCCAAGCTTGCCTAATATTGTATTGGCATCTATTCATTGTTACTAATGAATTTTATTAAACGAATTTTTAGAAATGGAAGATTTTCCCTGGAAAAATAAAGCACTGGAAAATTTTCTGCATCTCTGGTGGGGCCACCTTGAAATGCCCACAAAAAACAGCTCTGCATGCTGTGAGTGGGCCACAGAAAATCGGTTGTTTCACTGCGACCGGTAGATTCATAGATGTTAGGGTTGGAAGGGACCTCAATAAATCATCGAGTCCGACCCCCTGCATAGGCAGGAAAGGGTGCTGGGTCTAGATGACCCCAGCTAGATGCATATCCAACCTCCTCTTGAAGACCCCCAGGGTAGGGGAGAGCACCACCTCCCTTGGGAGCCCATTCCAGACCTTGGTCACTCGAACTGTGAAGACTGTCACCTGAAATGCGTAAAACTTCCCATGTGTCCATCATCTTAGCCCCCACAGCAAAAATTCAAGTTAGCACCTGTCATAAACAATCCATATGCCCTCTCTTCACATTACAAAAGCATAAGGTTAAAAGGGATCAAGGGTCACTGAATTCTACCCCCTATCCAAATGCAGGATGCACTATTCTGATGCCATCCCAGAAAAATGTCTATCCTTTCCTCCTCTGGCTCCGCCTTTGCTTCGGCTACAGTAGAGTATACTTCATTTTCAAGGTGCTTCACACCATATACTGCACTATATATCATCTCCATAAATTGTGCCAGAAGTGTCCTGCAGCGGCTCCTTTAATGTTTTTCATTTTGCCTGATTGGTAGAGGGGCCCCACCAGCT